ACGGCATGCGCTCCTCCGTTTCATCAGTTGCATAGCCAAACATCAAACCCTAAAAAACGAAACAACCTCCTGAGACAAGTTAAAAACCTAACTCGTGCTAACATAATCAGAACAGTGGGAGGCCATTTAAATCGTAAGAAATAGTGCGACGGAGAGGTTTATAGGACGAACCTGGTCACCGGCACCAATCTCTTCTTCTCGACGGTTCAAGTGCACGCCGGCTGCTATTTCGGGCGCCTGCTGATCAAGTAGCACTTGCACGTTGCAAGTTTTGTAATTGAAGCCTGTAATAAATACATAAAACAGTATGAAAAGCCGCTTCTGATCAGAAAGCCAGACGAGCCTTCTTACTAAGCCTCATTGAAAATTCAGGACTGGTGTGCAACTGGGAAGTCTGGGACAAAACCTCATTTGAATTTTGGTGAATAAAAAACCCTTGGTAGAATCGTCGAATCCTATTTCTCGCACAGTATCTCTAACGATCCGATCATAATCAACTTTGGCTCTGGATGTAATTTCCCCACACAGCATCAACATATCCGTTTTGGTTACCGTTTCTGTAAGAAAGTAACAACTTTAAACGGATGTTAGTTTTAGCTGTTCGGAGGAAAATTTACAATCCAGGAACTGCAAACCTGCAAAACAAAAAACTTTACAAAATGAGCTGCTAATTCTGTAATACGTGATGCACCAAAGCGATCCAGAGATGCTGCTTAATAGCAAAAAACAGAAAGTTTATGACATATTAATCAGTTAGGGGGCAAATATTTGTGAATCGAGCAACTACCTAATTTAGCACGGTTTGTTCAACTGGTTTTTCGGGATCCACTCGTACGCACATTTTTATAAGACATCTTAGCACTTACTCAGATATTTAGAATCTCATCCATGTTTCACTTCTTTGAAAAGAAGTGGCAGCAAGCATAAGCCACCTTGCCCACAAAATTCAAGAGCAGCATGAACCACTTTTCTAAGAGAATTTAACTTATCAAATCATGGAAGCATCTGTTATCTTGATTATCAGCCTGAAACAGCAGATACTCTTCCGCAAGTCCTGCAGCGGGAGGCACAGCAGATCAGGTCACCACCAAAAAAAAAAGCCATTTTAAACGACGAAAATGAGCAGCAAACAGTGTTTTTTCTACAGACCGCAGGCAACTTTGGCGTACGGGTCCTGCGCCAGATGAGCGTCCAGAACAGCATCCGAAACCATATCGCACATTTTGTCCGGATGGCCTTCGCTAACTGATTCCGATGTGAACAGGAATCTCTGATTACGGAACAGTTCTGCAAATATCAAAAACTGGAATGAAAAACCATATTTCTGCCAGGTGCTGTGCTAAAAAGTTTTTTAAGTGGACTTCTTTTTGCTCGGCAGCAACTACTGCTCTAACCAGCAATCCAGGTGTGGAAGACAAGGT